ACAGTGTGGTTGCAAAGCGTGTATTGTTGTGGGCTACAATTTCCTACCTTCGAAACATTTTTGGATAAGTGCGATTTAAATTGGAGATTGTGCTAGAAAAGAACGTGGATTTTTCGCCTGACAAATTAGAAGCGCACCCTCAATTCTATTCGGGAGAACAAAATATCTGGTACTAACACATATTGTATAGAAAATGCACATACTATCTTGTTTTCACGCTCTAAACATTGTTGTGTAGTCAATATTCCAAGAGCAGAAAACTTCCTTCTTTTGCAACGAATATGCTAATATGCATGCACCTACTGAAAAGATTCTTGACTATCGCGTACAGGTATGTTATCAGGGGACCTTGAAATTAACGCTACACACAGAGACTTCGGTCCGCTGCGCAGACAGTGGCATGAAATGGGTGTCGTGCTGTGTCATTGGTTTTCGTTCAGGAACTTTGCAACTGGAGTCTCTTCTTGTTTGTCTCGGCGGCTTTAACTGAGACCACAGAACAGGGAGCGATTAGATTATTCCGTCAAGGATACTTGAGAGCGCCTATGCTGCAGAGCTTCGTTAGGCTTTCGCTCTCAGCGTGTCGCGTCACGGCGATCTTGGGTACTCTCCTTAGGTTGGTCATCCTCCTCATTCTCGTTTTCTAGCAATGCCTGCATTTTGCTGTGCATGGTTCCAATGCGCTTTAATCAGGATGTAATAAGGGATTAATACGAAGATTTCTCTGTCCTCCTCCATTTCCTACGAAAGCGTGACCTAAGCGCGTCTCCTATTCCGACTCCTACTACCGTTGGTCCTGGCTGAAGTAGGATGCACAGCCAGACACTCTTGGAGTAGGGATCGACGACTCGATAACTATTAGGTTCGTTAGCCTCTTTCAAGTTAATCACGCATGACATTCCTGATAACTTGGACATATGCAGTTCTCCGTGACTCTGGAACGTGCAGGATATCGTACTTCTTGTTTTTTCCTCGAGCTTCGAGCAAGAAGCTAATGGTTCCTGCTTCCTTTCTTCAGGCTTTACCGAATCACGTCACCCGAGGCAAGTGATCGACCTCACATAAGTCTTAATGCTCTCCTTACTGAACATTAACGGACTCGTTCAATCCGGCCACCTGACTGCTGGACCAGGCTGAAACAGGGTCGTCATCAATCAGGTATTCCCAAATTTTTGAGTTTCTAGAAGTCGATGATAGATTATGTTACTTTCGGCTTCCTGTTTTGCAGATTCAAATATGATCAAGTTCAGCTTGGTTATTCGATGACGTCCTGGTTTACTTGCTGAGTCGATCTTGGCTTCGGGTTTTGCATCACGCCATGGTAAACGCTCAACACACTGCCTGCATTTTGCTGCTATTGGCTCCTGTTATGCTCATTTCCGCGAATCTAGATCAATGTGAGACCCCGGCATCCGACACTGATGATACCCGACAGGTGCTTTCTTAGCTTCCAGAATTGTTGACATCTGTATAGTCAATTTTAATTTGGTTCCAAGGTGTTCCTAAAACTTTTGGACAGGAGCCTGCTAGTTCTTTACACATTCTCCGCACGTCGGGGGAACACCACATTTCTGCAGCAGCTAACACTTGCTATTTTCTAATGCTTGTTTGTTTGTGTTTTGAGTTCCAGGATATATTTAAAATCTGCTTGGAAGATCGTTACTGACCCCTGTCAGCTCGTTCACTCAGATTCATGAACTTAAATGGCTCTCTTATTGCGGCTTTTGAAGCCGTTATTTCCAGTTGTCATCCAATGGCTACTACTCGCCCTCATATTTCACACAGACAACCTGTTACCATGGGATCGTATCATCAGCTATCTTTTGGACCTGCCTATCACCAGCGTCAGAGCAAGCAATGGTCATCTGGGAAACATGGCCGTTTCATTGGTCAGAGCCTGGCTGGAAGGGGACTGGAGAATGCTGACACCTCGCATGCTAGCGTGGACCCAGGCGATCAGCTGGTGGCTGGCCTTTTCAGTTGTCATGACAGGCACGCTAACTGGTGTCCGAGATTTAGTCTTATCTGCGTTTGCTGATTCACTTATCAGAGCAAGTGGAAGCCCGAAGCGTCAGACTCGCTGGAAGCTTAAGAAGAGAGGCGTGCTGGTTATAGCGAACCTCCAGCTCTCTCCATTGCTTCTTGATGACCTGGACCTCCCGGTATTAGCACATTCAGCAAAGGTGGAGACACTGGAACTCTCACTCCCCCTCCTAGCTTTTCTCCTTGCCAGAAACATCTCTCTGCAAATCAGGGGGTTCCATGTGGAGCTGACTTCTCGCAAGCTCCCCTCTGAGAGGGATTGCCGTGGGCTTGATGCTCAGGTGGAGGCAGAGAAGCGGGCCAGGCAGCGGCAGAGGCTGATAGACATCGACAGATTGCTCTGGGATGACAATTCTCCTCCTCCTTCTTTCATGCAGAAATTTCAAGACTTCCTCATTTTCACAGTTGCCTCCCGAGCAGCGCAGTGCGTGCAGGTCTCCATCTCCCAGGTGACCATCCGGTTCCGACCCAGCAGCCTGAGCTCTCTGCCTGAGCATCTCCACCGTACTCTCGCCCTCCGCCTCGACTCCCTCAGCCTCAGCAACGGCCATCCAGCCTCCTCTGACTTGCTGCTTCCCAGGGCAAAGGTGGTGGACGTGCGGGGCTGCAAGCTTGAGCTCGTGAACGAGTCGAGCAGGCCTTCCGCTCCATCGTCAGGGGTTCAAGCGGGGAATGACAGTGCTCCAACTGGCAAGACGGATTCGTCTAGCAGATTGCACAGGCAGGCTCCGCATAGGCCTGCTGTGACTGTGGTGAAGCGCTGGAGCTTCTCTGTGACTGTGGAGGCAGGATGGGGTTTATGGCACCAGGGAAGCAAGAACAGTGGAGTGGTGGTTTCTGCCTCGCTGGACATGGGCGCTCTCATCATGAGTGCGAATGAACTGGTGGTGCAGTATCTGTCTGGCTTGGCGGTGGACTTGGCTGAATTCACAGACTATGCCAAGTACAGGCAAACTCGCCCTCGTGCTTCAGTGCTTGAGGATCCCAGGGCATGGTGGCGGCATGCCATTGGAAGTGTGGCACGAGATCTCCGAGCAGCGGCAATGGACGTTGAGCTGACAGGGCTGTCGCAGTCCCTCCAAGCCACCCTGCGCCTGCAGTATGAGAAGCAGTACAGCGACTTCGTTGCAGGGCGCTGCTGGTCCGTGGCGTCTGCTCAGACGCGCCTGCAACAACTGGAGCAGCAGCTTGGCACTCTTAACTGCGCGTTTGTGCGGTTCAGGGTGGCGCTGGCGGCAGAATCTGAGGGGTTGACCCACAGTGAGCCTGCATGGGACCAGCACATGACCAACGTGAGAAACAAACTCCAGGATCTGAAGTACCTTCTTTCTGGTGGCTCCATCCCTGAGCCTCAGGCACATAAGCCGGTCATCGAGGTCAGCAGCAGGTTTACATGCCCCAAGCTGTGCGTCTTGTTGACGTCAGCGTCAGACCTAGATTGGGGTGCTGAGGTATCGCTGCATGAGGTGGCGCTGAGGTTCACTGAAACGGGTTCTCTTCATGCTGAGGTGTCATGCAGAGAGCTTCTGGTACGAAACTTCTATGTCCCTGAGAGCGAATTAGTAGGGAACATCGTGCACTCTGTCAGCTTCTCCCAAACCTCCGCCTTTCCTTCCTCTTCAGCCTCCTCCCCTTCCATTGGTCCTCGTGCCTCGTCCCCATCACCTCCAGTGCCTGGCTCTAGTCAACCGTCCCCACTGCATCCTTCTCTAAGCGGTCCTGCTGTGCCTGCTGCAGCAGCTGGAGCTGCTGCATCGTGCTCCCTTTCCTCGGGCTCCACTCCCTTCTTGGCTGTTTGTTTTGTCCAAAGGTACGGCTCTCGGCCCCGTCCCTGCCAGCTGCCCACCTGCCTGGTCGGCAGGTGGCATCTCACCTGCCCCTCAGAACTCAAGAAGCCAAGTTCAGGCCGTTTTTTCCAGTTTCTTCGAGCAGTCCGGTCTGACAAGTACATCAAAGCATCGCAGCAGAGCCCGAAAGCCGCGTTGACACCAGGGGAGATGCAGCAGCAACAACATGTACGGGATCCAGTGGAAGGGGTGGAGCAGAGGAAGCAGCCAACACATCCAAGTACAGAGGGAAGCAGGGGAAGCAAAGGAGAGCATGGCGAGACAAAGTGGAATGGGGAGCGTGAGCTCGGCGTGTTAGAGCTTGGGTGGGGCGAGGACGAGTTGCAGCGGCTGCATACTCGAGTGGAGGCGCACATGTCTCCCCTTCGAGTCTTCCTCGACCGCCGATGGCTTTTCCAGCTCATGCAGCTTCTCTCCTCGTCTCCCTCGACGCAATCCCAGCCAACTGCAGCCAGCCAAGGCAGAGCACTTAGCCATTTAGCCTCGCAGGCTGGGAAGGGTGTGAGTAGCCGTGCTCAGGCTGGAGCTGGTGGAGGGAAAGGACTGGGAGGAGAAGGTGCAAGGGAAAGAGGTGGGGAGATGGCAATGGGGGACGCAGCTGGTGGTTCAGGTGACAGTGAGTGGATGCCGGATATCACCAAGCAGCAGCACTACCTGTACCGGAGAAGGGGAGACTCTGGAAGCGTAGATTCCTGGAGCAACGGTGCTGCTACTAGTGCTGCAAAGAGGCCTCCAGGCACACCCGGTGGTGGCGCGGGACAGAACTGTGGTGGTTTCAGTGATGGTGGTGCTGCGTCGCTGAACCCGACTCTCTTCGCGGATCTGCAGGAATACGTGAGGGAGTTTGGGCAGCACGTGGCGAGGAAGCGAGTGCAGCATGTCAGGGAGAACCTGCCAGAGATCGCTGCCCGGGTTGGCAGCATACTCTTCATCATCCCATGCCGGGACATTGTGAGTGTGAAGTAGAAAAGAAAACACTTGTGATGTGCAAAGTGCTCATGCTGGTCTGTCACATCTTCATTCCACCAGCATGGTTTGACGCCTTTCTGATGCTGTATTACAATTCCAACCCATGGCACTGTCCATTGCCTTGCCTCCTCTGAATGACAGGCCATCATGCCTCGTCCATCATCATCAGCATCAGCCGGCCCTCAGCGCTCATCGGTGCCTTCAGCAGGAGGTGACGGCGACTTTCAGGCATTCTTTGGCATGGGGATGGACCACCAAGCACCACCATCACAGCCGCAGCAGCATCAGCATCAGCATCACCGCCAACAGCAGCGGCCACAGACACAGCAGCAGAAGAATGCTCAAGCGTGGCAGAACCAGGGAACAGGAGCACAGAGAGCGAGACCTGCACCACTGACCCCTCCCCTGCTGGTCATATCCCTGTCAGAGATCGTTCTGGACACAAGGCCGACTGAAAGGTGATAATCGTGCAAACTATTTATGGTCCTCCTTGTTGCGTGGTTCATGATCCTTCCCCTTCAGCCTTCCCTGTCCCTCTGTGGAGAAGCAGCCACCTGATTCAGGTCTGTCCCCTATTCCTGTCTCTCCTTCTGATGTCTTGATTCTCAGTTCCATTCTTCAGAAGCAGGATGTCACCTCAGAATCAGCAGCGTCATCCAGCGACCAATCCCCAGCTGCCAAGTGGCGCAAGGTGGTGGCGTCCATGGCATCGCACAGGGGATGGATGCAGCGGCAGCATGTGGGCCCACTGCCGCCCAACTCTCTGGAGCAGGTCAAGGTGGAACTCACACTTGAGGCTTACCTGACTCGTGCTTCTCTCTCCAATGTTGCCGATTTGCGGGAAAGGTAATTATTGCCTGTAGCTAATCCTTCTTTTTTTTGGTTCACATGATTACATGGGCTACCTTCATTACATCCATCCATACGATACGATACGATACGTGCCCTCCTTTTTCATTGCAGGGTGGACTTCTTAAAGTCAGTGTCAGTCAGCGTATCCGTCTGTCGCTGTACTGAACCTATTCGAGAAACCGCAACCACTGTAAGGCCCCTCCTACAGATCATACTTTTCCCACTCACTCCTGGTGTTACTTCAAGAGCCCCTCTCACTAGTCTCTTTCTTTCGCTCGTCCATCCTTCCTTCCTCTCTCCTTTTCTCACATGTGCTTGCAAGTTGGCACTTATCTGCCTTTAACTGTGCAGCTGCTGAGTGTGGAGCTGGTCACGTCAGTCTTCATCGTTCAGCTCTCGCCGCTCATTGCCAAGGAGGTGTCCCGCCTTGTGCACACGTAAGCAACCGACTTTGGCACTTGCGTTGCATGATCCAGTAGCCAGTAATGCAAGACACACATGTTTCAGGCGCATCAGCCCGCTTTCAGCACACTCCGGCACACCTGGGAAGCCCACCATAACACACTTTCCATCACGCCTATCCTGTTTTTGGCACCCCTCTGCACCTTCCCACTCTCCTCTTGCAGTTTAAACGAGACCTTTGCAAGCACTGGAGACCTCTCCTCAACCAGCAAGGAACCGCCACCACCCCCACCTGTTACACCTGGAGCACACCAGCTCGGGTGGAGGTTCTCCTTAAAGGTACACGCGTCTCTCGCATAATGCGACAAATGGACTCTCCTTTCCAATCTCAGCCGTAGCTTGTTTGGTTGCCAACTCTCGCTCCTCCCCGTTTCGCATCAGTTTTCCCCAACCCAAAGACCCCCTTCTTCTTACCCTTGCTCTCCCGCCTCCACCCCCCACCTCTCACTCACATCACATCCACCTGTCTGCAGGGAGGTGGTTTCCTGGTCGAGGCGTGTCAGGAGATGGTGCCGCACAGCAAGGCTGACTGCCCGTACGGCGTGTGCCGCTGCCGCCAGTGGGTGCCTTCGTCTGACACCGCTGTGGTACTCGTCTCCACCGCCAAGGACCTGCGCGGATGCCCCCCCAGCACTTCCAAATCAGTTCCTCCAACTGCTGCTGCTGCTGCTGCTGCTGCTGCTGCTTCTTCTTCTTCTGCTGGAGGTTCTGCTTCAGCTGTGGAAGGCCAGCGCCATGAGCCGGTGGTGGTGGTGTTCCGAGTGAGGCTGGACAAGATTCGAGTGGAGGCAGAGCAGCACAATGATAAGGTAAGTAGTTGTCAGAGCACCACAGATGTACTCCGCCTGCCTTTTGGGCTTCATGTTTGGCCATATCCGTCATGTAAGCTCATGAATCTTGTCCTTCCAAATCTCACTTCCCATGTCCCTCTCCCTCCATAACCACTTTTGTCCTCCCAATCCAGTTATCTCTCCTATTGCTGCTCAGAGGACTCTCCAGTGGCCGTATTCCTCCCTCCTGTAAGTTTTATCTCTCTCTCTCTCTCTCTCTCTCTCTCTCTCTCTCTCTCTCTCTCTCTCTCTCTCTCTCTCTCTCTCTCTCTCGAATGGTCCTTGCATTTCTTTGGGGGGTGGTACAACGGAAGGTGCAAAACACACAAGCACAAGCTCAACAGAAAACCGGCATCCTAACTATTCCAAGTCCCCTACCTACTCTCTCTCTCTCTCTCTCTCTCTCTCTCTCTCTCTCTCTCTCTCTCTCTCTCTCTCTCTCTCTCTCTCTCTCTCTCTCTCTCTGTCCCCTCTCCTCCCCCACCCACCCCTCCTAACCCCCCTCTTTACATATCACCTCTCTCTACCTCTCTGACGCTCCCTCTCCCCTTTCTCCTTCGTTTCAGCATCCTTCCCCTCATTTCCTCCTCTCCCCATCCGCTAACACCTCCCTCCCTTTTCTTTGCAGATCGCGATGGTGCGGGAACTGTTTCCACCTGGCAAGGCCATGATGGCACGGGTCAGTTCCAATTCTTCTGGACCCACCTCAGCTTGCCATATGATCAGGACATAGTTTTCTTCGTTTGATCCGACCTCACATGCATGTCAATTTGTAATTTTCCTTTCGCCATCCGGACCACCATTTCCGCATCCTACTGTTAACAACCCCTGCGCTGTTGCTAGTCTCTTAAACCTCACTGTTGACCCTTCCCCTCTGACGTCAAACCCAGGTGTTCTACCGATGGCGCCTTCAGACAGTGGTGGCGAGGGGTTGCAGCGATGAGGCCATATTTGCTGCCTACGAGTCGCTCCAGCGGGCCAAGGCTCAGGTGCAGTGCATCAGGCTTCATTGCCTGTAGGCTGCAGCTCAGTGCTGGGAATAAGGGAAATTTGTGTTAGTGCATGTTGGTTGTATTCGTTTTGCTTCTTGATAGACATGAGCAATGGCTCCATTGACATGGCACTCGCCCTCTGTGTGCACGGATGAATTGCCGTGCCATGGTTGGTGCTCTGCAGGTTGCTGTTCAGCTGCAGGAGGCAGGAACATTGCACCAGGTGGCTGTGAAAGTCGCCCTCCTCCCATTCTCCTGGTACGCCCCTTTTTTTCGCCCATTAAACAGCCAATCTTAACCCTCTTACTTGAACCTCCTGCTGTAGACGATGCTGCTTCCTCCTTTCCACAGCCACTTCACCCATCCCCTCTTACATCTCACTCGTGTTCAACCCATTTTTCTACCACACCACCACCCACCCATCCGTGTCCTGCTGCAGTGACACCAATAACCTATCCGCGGTGCTCACCTTCCTCACTCACCTTCAAGCCGCTATCTCTCGGAACCACCTCTGCTCCACGGGGTCCCTCAAATTCCCGAGCTCGCCAGATGCTGACTTTTGGAAGCAGCGAAGTGGAGAGGGACTCGTGGGGCGAGCCCACACCCACTGCTTTACCCTCCAGCCGCCCGACTTCTTCGTCTGGCCGGTCGCGTGTGTCTTTTAGAGATGCAGCAGAGGACAGCGTGGAAAGCGAAGATGAGACGGAGGAGGCACAAGGCGGGGAGAGGTGGTCTGGGAAGCAGGTGGGGGATGGAATGGCAGATGGTTCCGAGTTCGGGCCTCGCGTGCGGAGGACTGGGGGTGGGAAGCGGTTGAGCATTGGAGAGCTGCCCGTTGACGGAAGCGAGGCAGGCACGGATGTTGACGAGGATAATGAGAGGCAAGGAAATAGAGTGTCTCTGGATGATAGCCCCCTCGATATCCTGGGTCCGTGTTCTGAATGGCACCCTAATGGAGCGCCCTGGGAGGGCATGAGTGAGAGGAGAACACGAGGAAGGAGCAGGGATGGTGGAGAGAAGGACGGGAGAGGTGAAGGGTGCCGTGTGTATTCAACGAGCGGTTGGAGGGAGAGGAGGAGGGGTTGGCAGGGAAGCAGTGGGGAGGGAGAGGCAGCGGGTAGCGATGCAACGAGTGAAGTGTGGAAGCTGCAGGCGGAGCTGGGATGTGGAATGGTGATCATGTCCATTGGGGGAGTTTCTTTTGGCAGCGTCATCATGCAGAGGGTGAAGGTGGATTTGACCTCGCAGCCAGATGCCGTGGATGTGGACCTGACAGTGGGCGATCTGGATGTGGTTGACATGCTCGCCAACTCCAAGTGAGTCCACCCAGCACACTGCCCCAGTACCCCGATGTTCGATGTATTCGGTCCGACACCACATTCTCTGTATCTCGGGGCGATCCAAGGTGTAGGCTTCACCACTGCTTCACTGATTTTTTGTCTGTAACCATCCCTCCTTCGGTGCAAGCCCATCCTTGGGATTTTTTTTCCAACTCTAGATTTGATCCACCTCACCTTTGTCGCCAGGCACTACGCTCACATTTTTGAGCCCAACGGAGACCTTCCAAGCCTGAACCTCGTTGTTCGGCAGAACATGGTGCAGCGAGGGCCGAACCTACCTGCCAAACCTCAGGTATGGCAGAAGGGTGTGGCATGGTACAATACTGTAGGTCTGACCTCAGGCACTAAACAATCACATCAATGTTCAAGGGTAATCCACCACAATTCCAGGTACCCAATCGACTGTATCCGTTCTCAAATTATGTACTCACACTCGCTGTCATTTGCTCTCAAACATGCGCACCCTCTGCTGTGAAGCCCCAGCATTTTTTCCCTCCCTCCACCACTAACTCTACCCACCCAATGGCCCTCCTGTGTGAGCCGACAGGTGTGTGTGTTTGTGGAGAGCCAGCAGACGAGGATGACGGCCATCTTCCGCTTCTTCAACGACTTTGCTCTCTTCGTGGAGCGGATGGCCCCCATATTCTCAACCCCCCAGGTACGCACGCAGCCCACAATATAACTTCTCCTTTCCCGCACCATGAACCCTGAACCAGGTTACTTGTTCTCATCTCCTCACCCCGAATGTGTGCTGTACGCATTCCTAGTTCAAGGTTATTGCATCTGCTGGACACCAGCTGCCACCTCACTGGCAATTGTGCTAACACAGATATGTCATAGCTGACACCCTTCTTGCTTGCGCTGATCTTCTGACAGGCATCCGGTCCATCCAAAAAAGACGGCGTCTCAGCCAAGGGCCAGGATGGCAAGAGGGAGGGGTTTAAGCAGGGTAAAGGGGAGGGCAAAACAGCTGGGGATTCAGAGGGAGGTGATGCGCCTCCACTGGTGTTTCTGCACATCTCTGACCTGTCTCTCTGCCTTCCAGTGTAAGGGTGCTTTGCCTGCTTCGTTCTAGTGTGGTGCTCTGATTGCTTTGTCTCAACCAGATGGTGCTGCACAGCTCACGTGGCACATCTGTCTCCTCTCCTGTCCACCCACCCATCCCATCTCCCCCATGTCAGGTCGTCATGGAGCGAGGAGTCTCTGGATGTGCGAGTCGAGACCATCAACCTCATCGTTCCCACTCCGGCTTCTCAGCGCCTGTCCCAGCACACACTGCTCAGGTGCATGCTTGGTTTGAACTTTGACTGCTGCAATCAGGTAGAGTCATTTGTTTTCCCTTCTGTGTCTCTGGCCCAACACCCACCACGCCAATACGGCGTACGTCCATGGCAATGCACTACACCAATCCATGCACTCATCATACACGCATTATTTTCAACTCTTTCTTTCTTTCCCATCAACCCGCCTTGTTACCTCACTGCAGACTCGCAACAGGCATCCGCCCGCGGGACCCCTCCTTCTGGAAGCCGCTGGTGGATGCTCTGGACCGCTCCCCCCCCGCTTCCCCCGACTCCATTGGCATTCAGCTCTCCCGCTTTGGGGCCTACTGGTCTCCTTCTAAGGTCAGATAATGTGATGGCCACTCCATTGTTATCTCTTCAAGGCAACCGCGTACTGCTCATGTGTGGTTGCTGCTCATCCAGGTTATAGGTGCATGGCGTTGAGACACACAACCTACACATGCCAGGCTTGCATTGATGCCCCTCTGCATCAATGCCCAGCTGCGTTGATGTGAACTTCTCTCTTGGCAGGGCAGAGGCCCTGTGTATGCATCTGTTCTTCTTACCATCTGTGCCTCCTCCCCCACCTTCTGATCCTTGCCTTCTCATCCCTGTGCCCTCACTCGCCGCATTCTCTGGCATGCCTGCTTGTCCCTGCTCTCAACAGACCATCACCCCCAAGGTGGAGCGAAACATCGTCTCTGAGGGTGGTGTCTTCATCTCCGTGCAGGTGCGCCTCGAGTGGTCTGGGATTGGGATGTGCTTCACTTCACTGATACTACCACGACATATCGTCATGCTTATACAATTCGACTAATTTGATTGGAGCACATTTTCTTCCTCTTCTCACCCCAAGTCCTTCAAATCAATACTCCACCTTCAGCCAACCACTAAGCTCTCACCATTCGATCCTGTCTTCTCTATTCTCTCCACACTTCACCCTCCTACCCTCTGTCTGTCCCCTCTTCCCACCAGTCGAACCCATCACGTGTGCACGTGCACTGGCCTCAGGTGGAGATCCGTCTGGGCCCCACTCAGTACAACGCCATCATGACCCTCATCTTCCAGAACCTCGCAGAGGGCTGCTCCTTCACAGGTGGGCTTTGGCACACTGCTGCAGGCAGGAACAACATGGGTAGTTAATACCGATGTGCATGCACAGGTATTTAATACCGTAGTAGTGCATGCACTCTACACAGTGAGCCATACCACTCATCCATACCTGGACATATTCTCTTCTTCTCGCAGCAATCTATTCGAGCCTTGTCATGTTCCACAGTCCACCTTACATTCCATGCCATGCCACCCAAACCCATGGCGGACAACCAGGTGTACAACCTGCTGATTTCGGATCACCCTGGCTCTTGTCACTTTCCACCGAGCCCCATGCCCATGCCCATGCCCATGCCGACCTTACCTCCCCTCGTCCCGCCATCAGACGACCAGGTGCACAACCCGCAGGTGGGTCGGCCCTTGGGTGGGGAGGCTGCTCCTCCGGACCCCTGCGTCAGCCTGGCAGGGCTCACCCCCGACTTGGAGATTCAGCTCGACTTCGGCCGCGCTGTCATCCATGCCGAGATGGAACACCCAGCCACTCTGGTTGAGAATGGGTGCGTGTGCGGAAAGCATCCTTCATGGTGTCCCTGTTTTTACTTGCAACGCATGCTATCTGGTTTGTTCATATTGAATAGTCAAGGTTCCTTTTTTTAGAATCATTGCCAACCAACCAACCAACTACCCCCGTCCGTGTACCCTCAACCAACCAGCTTCGGCGACCCCCTTTTGTCCTTGAGAGCGCATCGCCTCACCATTGTCTACTCCAACTTTACTGATGTAAGAGTCTACCTCCTTTCCCTTCAATATTCCAGTTACACCGAGCCAAACTCTTTTGCCTTGCCTTCTCTCTCAACCTTGCACCTTCCCCTTTGGACCATACGAACTTGCCCCTACATTTATGTGACCCGCACTTGCCCCTTCACCTTTGGACCACTCTACTTTCTCTTCTTCCTCCTCAACTAATCCCCACCCCGCTCCCCCTATATCCCCTGCCTACCTCCTCTGTGGCTGGCTTGCTCACCAGTTCTCGCAAGTGACAGTCAAGGCGTTTCGCCTGCTCTTGGTGGACGACCGCTTCCTCAAATTTTCGCAGTCGGAGGTTCGCACACTCCCTCTGTCAAGTTGATGCATCTCATCATCCTACCAGTCACCAAGCTCTCTACTCCACCCACATCCACTCTCAGACAACCAGTTTTCCACTTATTCTCCTCCTCTCGTTTCTTCATTGCTCTCCTCACCTCCCTTTTCCCGGTGCCCCCTTTGCCAATCCCCAGCTGACCCTCGTCGAGACCAGCAGCTCGCGAGCCAAGCCGTCTCCCACCTCAGCTTCCGCATCCACCCGACTCTCCACACCCCCCAACCATACCCGCCCATACACCACCCTCATGGGTGGCGAGTCCGGACAAGGCCTTGGGTGCGACCTGGACAGGTCGTTTCTGGTGAACGTGGTGATGAAGCAGGAGGGCACGACGGGCGTGCAGGTGGTGTTTGAGCGCACCAGCATCGTCTGGCCGTTCTACACGGACCTGTCTCTCGTGTGGGAGTTTCTGGAGGTGGTGGCAGGGTACTTTCAGAAGCCGGGGTGTGCGCTCGGGCCGGCCAGCCTGCAGCCGGATTCGTGGCTCATGGTCAACATCCTGCTGCACGTGAGTAGCAGGACGAATGTATGCTACTGAAACAATCGTTTCTAGCAACGGTTGTATGAGAGCCTGAGTATGTATGCCTTTATGTCCCGAGCCAGCAAGTTCGTTCCTCAGGGGCTTCCTACTTGTCTGCCTGTGCCTTGTTTTAGAAATGTGCGCTAACTGGTTCCCTTCTTTCCCTGCACCCGTCACCACCTCTCCATCCCTGCGTCCTCCACCACCTCTCATCAGGACTTTGATTTGTTGCTGCCCGTCCCAGAGGAGAGCCTCATCAACGTCTGCCCGCCTCCCTCCAGCTCCCAGCACTCCAGCCCGCCTCATGCCAACCCTCCTCTCGCCACCCCATCACCAATAACTGCTGACTCTTTTCCAGCCTTCCACTCCCCCCAATCCCGCATGCCTACTCCCTCCACTCCGTCTGACCGCTTCTACGAAGCTTCGGAGGCTCTCCCTGCCAGCCGACGCAGCGGCAGTGTAGGTGCTGGGGGTGCTGCTCCTGCTGGCAGTGGCTTTGACAGGAGTGGCAGCAGTGGCAGTAGTGGCAGCGGGCAGTTTGAGAGTGCAAGGAACACGTTTGAGGAGCCAGTGTGGGTGCCGGCGCTGCAAGTGTGGAGCGACGATGTGGACCTCTTTCTCTCAGAGCTCAATTCCCACGGTCTCAAGATTAGAGGGCAGACTTTAAGAGTGGGGCATTTTGCAGGAGGGGACCGGGAGAGCAAACTCCTGGTGGACTTTATCCGCGTCAGCAGCGTGTTCATTCACCAGTCTCAGTACTTTGCCCCTCACGATGTTCTTGGGGAATTCACTGCTCAACTGCTGTTCAGCCAGCATTCTCCCAAGTGCATCAATAGGCAAGCCAGCCTGCTGTCGCTGCACATCACACCTGATCTCCACCCGTCACTCTCCTCATCTGCACCTTCTCCGTCTGCTTGCTGCTCTCTCTGCCTCCTCCACCGGAGGGCAATCCAGCGGCAGTGCCATCAAGTCTGGCCGTCTGCCTGTTTACTTTGTTTTCTCTGTGAGTCCCTTTTCCTTCTCCACAGCGCCTCTTTCGCTTCTTTTCTATAACAGAACATACATCTCACGTGGCTTATGCATCCGGTTCTTCACTCGGCGGAATGGCTGCACCATTTTCATTTTTCAACCCTCTCACTCACCCGTTTGACTCCCTGGCTCTCACCCCGAGCAGCATCTGGTGGTCCTAAGCTCGTTCCTTCGAACGCTCAGCATCCGCCTGAAGCGCAGCCAGGGCAACCTGCTGCATCAGAATCTCGACCTGTATGGGGACCCACTGCCTCCTGCCTTTGTGCCGTCCAAGCTGGCCGTCAACCTTCAAATTCACAAGCTCTTCGTCTCTCTCATCGACGACAGGTGAGGAGGAGGAGGGAGGGGAGGAGAGGCCGGGTTGTGAGGCCCACAGATAATGACATCTGCCAAGCTGGCCGTAAAGCCTCCAGATTCACGAGCTCTTTGTCGCTCTTATCGATGACAGGTGAGGACGAGGAGAGGCTGTGCTTTGAGGCAACCGTGATTTCCCATGGCTAGTCTTTCACATATTGGTGCTCGGCTCTCACTCCTTGTGCACGCAGACTCTTGCACTGGCTCTCAATCCTGAGTCCCATTTACGCCTTGCTCGTTCGCCCTGCCATCCCCTTGTGCTCCGCCATCACCACCACACCTCGTCTCAATACCATCCCTCCCTGCATCCCACCCATGCAGGATGGGCAACCCCACGTCGGCGCTGGAGCTGGCAGGCAAGAGCATTGCCTTTAACTCCAACCACCTCCCCTCCCCCCCTTCCTCTCCGTCCCCTCACACCCGCTTTCGTGGTCCGGCCGTGCAGGATGGGCAACCCCACGTCAGTGCTGGAGCTGGTGGCGAAGGGCATCGTCTTGAGTGCCACCAGCTAGATACTCACTCACCGATGGAGGGACCAAACTGCTCTTTTGGCCCGCCATCCCCCTGCGCTCCACCATCAACACCACCCCTCTCTCGACCCACCCATGCAGGATGGGCAATCCCACGTCAGTGCTGGAGCTGGTGGCGAAGGGCATCGTCTTCAGCGCCACCAGCCAGATCCTCACCGATGGAGGGCCCGAGCTGCTCTCCTGCCGCCTCTCCCTCACCCTCCTCTCCAACTTCCTCAACTCCGGCTTTGAGGTGCTTTTTTTCCAACCGCCTATGATTTTTGCCACCTTTCTAGCATCGCCCCCTGCTGGTCCCTATCATCATCTCCCTCCGAACCCCCTTCCTCCCTCCATTCCCCATCACCCCTCTTGCCCTCCTTCCTTATTGTGTCTCTCTCCGTACCCATCCTTCCTCTTCCACCCCTGCTCACCCTCCCTGCCTATGCATCTCCCGTACATCCCTCCACCGCAGATCATGGAGCCAATGACGGAGGCATGGCAGCTGGGAGCCGATGTGAAGTCCACGGGCAATCACGTGACGATAGCGGTGCAGTCGCACCAGCTGCTGAACGTCACGTTCACGCCCATGCAGCTGCGCTCGCTGGGAGACGCCCTTAACTTCTACACGCTGCTCTCCAACTCGCTGCTTGTGCTGCCGGGGGGCAGCCTGCATGGAAGCGACCGTGACGAGGTATTGGATTGGGTTGGGTTGGTACAAAGGGTGCTGTACATACGTGGCATGTGAGTGTTTGGCTGTCTGGTGCAAGTGGCCCTGTCTATATCTGTTACCATGTGTTGTGGTTAGGTCTACCTTCCATTCCATCTGCCCTTGACATGTTTTCATACTGTCTTCTCTTCGTGCCCCTCGCTGCCTTTCTTCCCCCTACCCGTCACTGTTTCTTCTCCACGCTGCAGTTGGGTTCTGGAGCATCCTCAACAGCTCATGGAGGCTCACTTCCACCTGCCACCTCTGCGCGGATGACTAGAGTGAGACATAACATCAGGCTGGCTGGGGGGGAACAGGGTGGGGGGAGTTTGTGGAAGGGAGGGAAGGGAAGGTACCTAGATCTATTCATGAGCATCATTGCGTGCGTTGGGAGAGCTATACATGCAGTCGTTTCCGTTCCTTATTTCGTCCGCCTTGTCATGATCACCCTCCCCTACCCCTCCCCGCCCTTTCCCCTCCCCTCCCTTTCCTTTCCCCTCCTTCCCCTTTCCCTGGACATGGTACCTGAGCTGGTTTTTAGAGGTATAACTTTGAGTGAAAATGAGTGATTATGGAACTGCACAAAGTAATGTGTATTGGCATTGCTCGTTGCATTGTTTTCTATACACAACAACCTCTGTCCTCCCTCCTCTTCATGTGACTTCCTCCAGGCAATGAGCATGCTGAGGGCACGTGAGTACTTCCCCAAGTCAGGAACCCTTGCAGAGGTACACTCCCTTCATTCATCAGAACCTGTCTGCATATTAGATGTCTCTGCTGCCGCGTTCGACCTGTCGCACCCCTCCACCCAACTTGGCAAATGATTCAATTTTTGGTTTCAATTATATGTTTCTCCACGCAAAATTTCTAAGCCCAACTGTGGTGCTCTGCCAATCCAATGTCATGTTCCCCACCTGGCATCATCTCCCTTCACATATCGCACAGTTCCCTTAACCAGCGCCACCTCCTCCCCACAACACCACTGCACTGCACCGTGGCCAGTGTAACACCATTACCTGTTGCATCAGCATCCCCTCATCTCGTCATCCCATCATCCGCTCGACCCCTCACAACCTCACCCCCTCAACCCTGCATCCCCTCACCCCCTCGCCCCATCATATATCTGAATCCGCCTCCACCCCTCTCATCCATCCACGAGCAGACACTGGAGGCGTCACTGCAGGAGGTGGCGGTGGGAATGGTGAGCTACAGAATCGTCAACCTCTCAGGCCACACGCTCTACTACTGGACTGGTGTGTGCTGTGTCAGCTGCAAACCCTGCCTGGGTGGCCATTTCTTGTCTTATCCGCACTATGATTCAGACCCGATGGGCACTGACGCACAGTTGCCAAGTGAACATTGATCACTGCGTTTCTGGTGTGCAGAGAAGGACGAGGAGAAGTCTAAGACATACTCAATGGAGGAGGGCGAGGAGCAGGTGCTGGAGGTGCAGCCGGTGCAGAAGGTGGTCACTCTCAGGGACACGCGCAAGATTCTCGCGCGCACCATCTGTGTCAAACTCAAGGGGGACTGGCTGCCCATCAACGACATTGTCATGGATAAGGTGAGCTGCTCTCATCCTATTCTCAGCCTAAAGTTTGCCCAAAAAGCAAAGAGACTGGGGTACATGTGAGCTCTTAAACTGGCCTCAAGGGGGACTGGCTGCCCATCAACGACATTGTCATGGACAAGGTGAGCTGCTCCCATGGGTCCATTCTGCCAATTTCCTTTCAGCCTAACTAGATCCTGCACCTCATAAAGCAAAGAGATTGGGGTACGCCTGAGCTCTTAACCTAGCCTCTTAACCAAAAACCTACCTCTACCCGCCCCTCCCCACCCAGGTGGGCAAGTACGTGATGGACCTGCGGCTACCAGGGAGCACAGTGGTGCTGCTGGTGGTGTTTGACGCCACGCTTAAGTCGCGCACCAAGACCGCCGCTGTCCACTCCACCATGCACCTCCCCCTTCCCCCCTTTCCCCCCTCCCCACTTTCCCCGCCCCCCTGCGCCCAGGTGGGCAAGTACGTGATGGACCTGCGGCTGCCAGGGGAGCACAGTGGTGCTGCCGGTGGTGTTTGACGTGACGCTCAAGTCGCGCACCAAGATCATCACGGTGCACTCCACCATGCACCTCCGCAACAACCTCGACGTCCCACTCGTCTTCTTTGCGCTCCTGCCCAGCCCGAAAGAGACTGGAGGGGAGAATGCTAAGTCCTCCTCGCAAGTCAAAAAGTTTTCCCTTGGTGGGTCGCTGTGTGCTGCCGCAGCGCTGCTTTTCCAATGCCGTTCATAGCACAGTATTCTGCTGCTGCTGTATGCGTATAGGCTTGGTTGTGCTTCCCTGTTTCTCTCCTTGCTTTGATCGAATCGTGCCCTGTAACAATGTGCTCCTCCCTTTAGCTGTCTGGCTGTCTGTTACTGTTCCTGGGTGACTTACTGGCTCGCGCGTATGTGTGGTGTGGACACCCATCTGTTTCCGCGTGCCTTCCCTGTGCAGGCCCCATACATCCTGAGCATGAAATCTTCATGCCCATCTTTGCAGCTCTGGGCGGTCAACTCATGGCCCAGGCAGAGGTGCGTTTGCACATGGGTGCATGATGGCATGGGTGCATGATGGCATGGGTGCATGATGGCATGGGTGCATGATGGCATGGGTGCTTGATGGCATGGGTGCTTGATGGCATGGAAGCTTGATGGCGTGGGTGCGTGATGACATGGGTGCATGATGGCATGGAAGCTCGATGGCATGGGTGCGTGATGACATGGGTGCTTGATGGCATGGGTGCGTGAGGGTATGGGTGCATGATGTCATGTCTCATGCGTGGTTTTGTAATAGCATGGCTCATTCCCAGGTGCGTGATGACATGATTCTAGGTGCAGTCACGACTTACCTCTGAGTAATCTGATATGCATCCATTGCATTCTTCACTTTCGTCTCATCATTCACCCAACACCTCCCCCCTCTTCCCCTTCACCGTTCTCTTTCCCCTCCCCACACCGCCCCTGAAACACCTCATGGCAGGGCTTTGCGCGGGCAGAGAAGGACGTGGTAGCACTGCATCCAGAGCACCTGCTGGAGCAGGCGATAGCAAGCACACCTCTTCTTTTTACTTCCGTCTTGTCATTTCCCAACCAACCAACCCCCCCACCCTCTTCCCTCCCTCCCCCGTCTCCTCCTCCTCCTCGCAGGGCTTTGCGCGGGCAGAGAAGGACGTAGTGGCGTTGGACCCAGAGCACCTGCTGGAGCAGCAGGGCCTCCTCGAGTTCCCCATTCTCAGCCACGGCACCCGCTCCCCAATCGTGGGCAGAGGCAGCAGCGGCGGCAGCAGCAGCAAGCTGCTCACCCGCTTCAGCAGCATGACGCGGAGGCATAGTGACAGCGGGGGAAGTCTGAGACTGAGTGAACTTGGGAGTGTGAGGAGGGGGAGCATGGCAAACGAAGGAGAGGATGAGTTTGATAGGAGCAGTGGTGTGGGTTCCTTAGAGGAGTTTGACAGTACGAGTGATGTGAGGAGGCCGTTTTACTGCTGTCTGCAGGTGATCTCAGATCCTCTGGCACACAGTGCGAGCAACGGGCTGTATGAGGAGTTCACTCTGTCCTTCGTGCCCCCTGTGGCCATTCAAAACGGGCTGCCATACGACTTGGAGGCATTTGTGTGGGATGTGGAGTGGGGCACGCGGCACATCGTCTACGTGCCTTCTGGTCAGTTCCGCCTCCTGTAGCCACTGCCACTGCTGCTGCTACACTGCAACACTTCCGCTTTTAGTGCTGCTTCCTTTTGCTTCAATCTCTGCTTGCTCTCCGTCTGCCTCCAGTCTTAACCCAACCTGTTCTTGTAAATGGCCATACATTCTCCTCGCTTGGTTCTCATCTTTTTTGTCCCCCCCAACCCCATCAGGCGAGTCCCGAGACCTCTACCACGTCAGCCTGGACCACACGCTGCAGATGCACATCGCGGTGAGCCTCTTTGCGCCTCACTGTTGTTTTGGTAAATTTTGATCAATTGCGAGTGAAGAATGCAAGTAGTGGTCGTCAAAATGCCAATGGATCCCTCTTGGGTCACCTCGTGTGGCCTTTTCATGTTTCCATTCTCCCCCGTGTCTGTCCGGTTATTGCTGCAGCTCTTCGTGCCAGGAGGGGAGTACAGAACGCGCCGCCGGTACCCCATCCACTTCCCTCCCAAGTGAGCTATCTTCCCAGCCCCAGAGCCCTCTCATTGCGCTCCACAGGCATCACAACCCACTTCAGTCCTAGAGATTCCTGTCTTCGCCTATCATTTCTTCCTTCTCTTCATCATGCAGTCATCTCACCTGCTCGCTCCTTGTGACTTCACCATGCGCCCGTTTCCATGATAAGATGATTTCATTGTGTTTGGATAACCTCACTCCCTCTCCCATCGTGTTCTCCAAACTCCCATCCCCTTCCCTCCCCCCCTTTCCCCTCCCCCTCCACACTCTCGTCAATCCCCCTTGCCAGCCCCCTGCTCCAGAAGCAGTTTGGCAGCCGAGCCTTTGCTTACGACGTCCGCACTCTCCGCCTGGCAGTCAAGTGCCGCCTCTTCCCACAGCACTCCCCTGCAGCCTCGCCCATCACCCTCTCCATCGACAACCGCCACAACTGGCAGTCACGCAACCGCAGCATTTCTTTGCTCGCGCACTACTGGGTCATCAACCTCACCAAGTTCCGCCTCAAGCTTTCCACTGGATCCTCCCAGAACCCTCTCGACTGCCCGCGCTATCAGGAGGGCCAGCCGGCCCTGCTGAATGTGCGCCGCGGGGCGATCACTGCGATCAGCTTGGATGGGTTTCATTGGTCGAAGTCGATCTCGATAGATTCTGTCGGGATCAAGGGGTCGGTTGCGGTTGCAGGGCCTGCGTCCACAGCGTCACAGCACCACCAGCATCACTCACACCCAGATCATGATTTGATGCGGCCGCAGACGACCGAGGAGTGGGAGAACGTGGTTCAGCTGGAAGCTCCTGCTGGCGCTCCCTCCCGCCGCACCACTGCCATGTCACCTTTCCCAGTCAGTTTCTCTACTGCTTCTGGCCTTTTCAACTGCTTTAGCAGATGCCTGAACACCTCCATTCTCCCTCTATGCCCCCTTCTCCCCTTCGCCCATCTGCCTCCCTCTTCAAACCCTCCCATTCACCACAACTCCACGCGCCACACCACCTCCGCCATGTCACCATTCCCACTCAGTGTCTCTGCCTTCTCGGGCATCTCTGAATGCTTCGGCAATTATCACCTCCAGGCCCATTCTCTGAATGGACCAAGTCGCGCGCGCAAACCAAGGCGCGCGCGCGGACCGAGTCGCGTGCGCGCACGGACCGAGTGGCGCAAGCGCGCAGACCAAAAGGCGCGCGCGCGCGGACCAAGTGGCGCGCAGCGCGGACCAAGTGGCGCGCAGCGCGGACCAAGTAGCGCGCGCGCGCGCGGACCAAGTGGTGCGCGCGCGCGGACCAAGGGGCGCGCCCACGCGGACCAAGGGGCGCGCCCACGCGGACCAAGGGGCGCGCCCGCGCGGACCAAGGGGTGCGCGCGCGGACCAAGTGGCGCGCGCGCGCGTGCGGACCAAGTGGCGCGTGCGGACCAAGTGGCGCGCGCGCGTGCGGACCAAGGAGCGCGCGCGCGTGCAGACCAAGTAATGCGCGAGCGCGCGGACCAAGGGACGCGCGCGCGCGCGGAACAAGAAGCGCGCGCGCGCGGACCAAGTGGCGCAAGCGCGCGCACCAAGGAGCGCGCGCGCGGACCAAGTAGCGCGCACGCGTGGACCAAGTGGTGCGCGCGCGGACCAAGTGGTGCGCGCGCGCGGACCAAGGGGCGCGCCCGCGCAGACCAAGGGGCGCGCACGCGGACCAAGTGACGCGCGCGCGCGGACCAAGTGGCGCGCAGCGCGGACCAAGTGGCGCACCCGCGCGGACCAAGGGGCGCGCGCGCGCGTGGACCAAGGGGCGCGCGTGCGCGGACCAAGTGGCGCGCCCGCGCGGACCAAGTGGCGCGCGTGCGCGGACCAAGTAGCGCGCCCGCGTGGACCAAGTGGCGCGCGCGGACACCAAGTGGCGTGCGCGTGCATGCGGACCAAGTGGCGCGCGCGCATGCGGACCAAGTGGCGCGCGCGCATGCGGACCAGGTGGCGCACGCGCGCGCGGACCAAGTGGCGCGCGCGCGCGCGGACCAAGGCGCACGCGCGTGGACCAAGTAATGCGCGCGCGCGCGGACCAAGTGACAAGTGCGCGCGCGTGGACCAAGGGGCGCGCACGTGCGCGGACCAAGAAATGCGCGCGCGCGGACCAAGGGGCGCGCCCGCGCGAACCCAAGAGCGCGCGCGCGCGGACCAAGTGGCGCGCGCGCGCGGACCAAGGGGCGCGCCCGCGCGCGGACCAAGGGGCGCGCCTACGCGGACCAAGTGGCGCACCCGCGCGGACCAAGGGCTGCGCCCGCGTGGACCAAGGGGCGCGCACACGCGGACCAAGTGGCGCGCAGCGCAGACCAAGGGCCGCGCACGCGCGTGGACCAAGGAGCTCGCGCGCGCGGACCATGTGGCGCGCGCGCGGACCAAGTGGCGCGCGCGCGCGGACCAAGTGGCGCGCGCGTGCGGACCAAGGGGCGCGGCGGGCCCGCGCACGGACCAAAGGGCGCGCCCGCGCGAACCAAGGGGCGTGCCCGCGCGAACCAAGGGGCGCACGTGCGCGGACCAAGTGGCGCGCAACGCGGACCAAGGAGCGCGCACGCGCGCGGACCAAGTGGCGCGCGCGCGCGGACCAAGTGGCGCCCGCGCGGACCAAGTGGCGCGCGCGTGCGGACAAGGGGCGCGCCCGCGCGGACCAAGTGGCGCGTGTGCCCGTGCGAACCAAGTGGCGCGCGCGCGCGGACCAAGCAGACCAAGGGGCGCGCGCGGACCAAGTGGCGCGCGCGCGCGGACCAAGTGGCGTGCGCGCGCGGACCAAGTGGCGCGCAGCGCGGACCAAGTGGCGCGTGCGCGCGGACCAAGGGGCGCGCGCCTGCGCGGACCAAGGGGCGCGTGCACGGACCAAGGAGCGCGCACGCGCGCGGACAAAGTAGCGCGCGCGCGCGAATCAAGGGGCGCGTGCGCGGACCAAGGCGCGCGCGCGCGGACCAAGCAGCGCGCCCGCGCGCGCGGACCAAGTGGAGCAAGCGCTCGCAGACCAAGTGGCGCGTGCGCGGACCAAGTTCCTTCACCCACCTTCCTCCCTCTTCACCCATCGCCTACCATTCACCACAAAGTCCGCCCACCCCACAAAAAAACATATGAATGCACACATACACGACAACTTCAGCTGCCCTCCCCGTTTCTGCTCTCCATCTTCTCTCCACCCTCGCCACGCTTGCACCAGACCAGATCAGCACTCACCCCAAACGAGCCCTTACCCCAGATGCACATCCTCCCCTTCTCTCCCACTCTCCCCAGACCCTTCGGCGCTTTGAGTTTGGGGTGGAGGTGCGGCTGGCGCCATCACTGTGTGAGGGCACCAAGCTCGTCATCATCTCTCCTCGCTTTATGGTCTCGAATCAGACCGGCCAGCCCATGCAGATTGCCCAGATCGGTACCTCCACTGCGCGGGTAAATACACCATTTCTCCTTTGCCCTTTCGCCAATATACCCCCTGCTGTGTGCGCCAGTATCAACATGGCACTTTGATTTTCTCCCTGTTTGGGCTCGGGACTGCACGCACTGCCCTGCGCTCCCCTGCTGCATTTGACTTAACTAATCTCAGTGTCTGTGTCTGTGGCCTTTCCTCCGGCAGGTTCTGGCGGACAAGGTGCGGCAGCCGTTCCACTGGGATGACGAGAAGCTCGGCACGTACCTGGTGGCTCGGTTGCTGAGCAGCGAGCAGGAGGAGGATGATGTGGATGATGGCGCAGAGGAGGGGCCGGAGGAGGGGGAGGAGGAGGATGGGGTCAGCTTTAGTTCTGATGGAGAGCACAGTGAGGGGGAAGAGGAGGGCGAGAGAGGGGAGGGAGTGGGGGAGAAACACGCAGTGGATGAGGTGCGAGGGATGCAGAGGTTGCGGAGGGACTCAGAGGATTCGGTTGTGTCGTGTGAGTCAATGGAGGGTAGAGAGCAGGTGCAGGCAGGGGCGAGCAGCATTAGGTCTGGAGGCTCCGATGATAAGAAGATGGGGTTGCTTAAGGGCCAGGAGGGGACCGGGGCTAGTGTCAGGTTGCAGGACAGTGGTAGTGACGGGCAGCAGCAGCAGCAACCCCACAGCGGCGACAGGGGCAGCAGAAGTAAGCAGGTGGAGAACGATAGCAGTAGAAAGGGGGATGGAAGCTCGGGGAAGGGAGAAGGAAGCAGTAGGCGCTTGGGCGGGAGCAGCAAGTCATCAGAAAAGAGCGTCAGTCACACAGAGAACGGAGCGGGCAGCGAAGGCGGGCGTACATCCCAGAAGAAGAGTGCAGGGAAGGGGCGGCGGAGCAAAGGAGGGGAGATGGACGTGGACTGGGACTGGTCTGGTGCGTTTGATATCGACAAGCCGGGTGAATCAGCAGTGCGCATCAGGCACAGGCGCAAGAGGGGAAAGTACGCCATACTCTCCATCGACGTCTCACTGAACGGCGCCTCTGCTCTCGTCACGTTTGGCATCTGCGGCTCCAAGCACAAGCCTCCACCCTATCGGTACGTGCCGTGCCGCCCTTGCTTCCTGGACTTGCTTCCTTGAATTGCACATGCCGGTTGACCTCTCCCTTGCGGGCCTTTTATTCTAGTCCCTTTCTTTGGACCTGGGCCTCCTAGTCACGTGCCTGCAGAATGGTGCTTCCTTGTGCCGGGGTTCCTGCATGATATAGCTCCCGAAGGACCGTATCTTCACACGACTCATTCCATGCATGATGTGTCGTTTCTTCTCGTTCCAATTCACGTGGCATGGCAGCATTGAGAACCGCTCGGCCTTCATGAGCATCAAGTACGGGCAGCTCACCACCCCCACGCGGCAAAGGCTGCCTCCCAACCACTCCACCAACTACGCCTGGGACCAGGTGTGTCTCAAGATGGACCAGCAGTACACCTGTAAAGTGCCTCGATTGTCTCTCAAATCTCTCAGATGCGGTAAGGGGAAGTGGGAGCAGTTGATGTTTTCCTGGTAATTACTGTAGTTGGAACCGACACACCACACCCGTCCACTACCAAGCAAATGCAGTATCCTGGATACGGGAGGAGTCAATCACGCTCCTCTCATCCTGAAAGTGATTTACTCAGCAGCCTTTTTTGCTGTTCATCTGAATCTGATAGTCATTCAGACACATTCCCGCCTCCCTCCCCCTCCCCTCCCTTCCCTTGCTGTGGCCAGCCGCGCATGGCCCAGCTGCTGCAGGTGGAGATAGAGGGGTTCGGCGTGACACGCGAGTACGATCTGGACGGCATCCGCGAGCTGCCCACCATCATCCTCTCAGAAGACGACTTCACTGGCAACGCATCGCTGAGAGACAGGTAGGCGTAGGCCTCACTGGTGAAATGAGCCAAACCAAATAGTCATGGGCTGGGGCTGGGGTACAATTTGGACGGCATCCTCGAGCTGTCCACCATCATCCTCTCAGAAGACGACTTCACTGGCTGGTGAAGTGAGACGAAGTGGTAAGGAGGAAGGGTAGAGACTGGAGGAAGGGGGTTTATGAACTGGACCGCATTTAGGAGCTGCCATTTTCAAAACAGACTCCAGTACCCGCCTCCCTTCTCACCCTTCCAACTCACCCTTCTGTCCCTTCGCCCCACTCTCTTTTCTTGCCCCAATCTGCCCCACAGGATGTTTGTGATGGTGGGGACGCATGCTCGAGCTGTGGCAGCGCTGTACGTGAATGTGTATGCAGACGGAGCCACCAGAGTGCTCTCATTCTCCGACACCAAACACACCTCCAAGTGAGCCCCTTCATTTAGGCACCAAACACGCTTCCGATTGAGCCCTTTGATTTAGGCACCAAACACACTTCCGAGTGAGCCCTTTGATTTAGGCACCAAACACACTTCCGAGTGAGAAATACTGCCTCATTCTGTCAACTCCACGTGACCGACTTCATTGCCGTCTCCTTTCCATTCACGCCACCCTAACGACTTGCTTCCATGCCCCTCAAATTCTTACTCTGTGCCCGTGAGGCCGTTCCTGTGCGTATCCGCCCGCGCTGTGTGCAGGGTGTCGGAGGAGGACGAGCGCACCACGCTGCAGGAGAAGCTGCAGGTGACGAGCGAGCGAATCGCCTTTGCCCGCAAGGTGCTTCAGCGCGCCCGGGCTCTTGCGGGGGACACCCCACTGGATGCTCTGGAGGCGAAGGTGAGCCAGCCTGTGCGGAGATGAGCCAACCTATGCGGAGATGAGCCAGCCTATGCGGAGATGAGCCAACCTATGCGGAGATGAGCCAGCCTATGCGGAGATGAGCCAGCCTAAGCGGAGATGAGCCAACCTATGCGGAGATGAGCCAGCCTATGCGGAGATGAGCCAGCCTATGCGGAGATGAGCCAACCTATGCGGAGATGAGCCAGCCTATGCGGAGATGAGCCAACCTATGCGGAGATGAGCCAGCCTATGCGGAGATGAGCCAGCCTATGCGGAGATGAGCCAGCCTATGCGGAGATGAGCCAGCCTATGCGGAGATGAGCCAGCCTATGCGGAGATGAGCCAACCTATGCGGAGATGAGCCAGCCTATGCGGAGATGAGCCAGCCTATGCGGAGATGAGCCAACCTATGCGGAGATGAGCCAGCCTATGCGGAGATGAGCCAGCCTATGCGGAGATGAGCCAGCCTATGCGGAGATGAGCCAGCCTATGCGGAGATGAGCCAACCTATGCGGAGATGAGCCAGCCTATGCGGAGATGAGCCAGCCTATGCGGAGATGAGCCAGCCTATGCGGAGATGAGCCAACCTATGCGGAGATGAGCCAGCCTATGCGGAGATGAGCCAGCCTATGCGGAGATGAGCCAGCCTATGCGGAGATGAGCCAGCCTATGCGGAGATGAGCCAGCCTATGCGGAGATGAGCCAGCCTATGCGGAGATGAGCCAGCCTATGCGTAGATGAGCCAGCCTATGCGGAGATGAGCCAGCCTATGCGGAGATGAGCCAGCCTATGCGGAGATGAGCCAGCCTATGCGGAGATGAGCCAGCCTATGCGGAGATGAGCCAGCCTATGCGGAGATGAGCCAGCCTATGCGGAGATGAGCCAGCCTATGCGGAGATGAGCCAGCCTATGCGGAGATGAGCCAGCCTATGCGGAGATGAGCCAGCCTATGCGGAGATGAGCCAGCCTATGCGGAGATGAGCCAGCCTATGCGGAGATGAGCCAGCCTATGCGGAGATGAGCCAGCCTATGCGGAGATGAGCCAGCCTATGCGGAGATGAGCCAACCTATGCGGAGATGAGCCAGCCTATGCGGAGATGAGCCAACCTATGCGGAGATGAGCCAGCCTATGCGGAGATGAGCCAGCCTATGCGGAGATGAGCCAACCTATGCGGAGATGAGCCAGCCTATGCGGAGATGAGCCAGCCTATGCGGAGATGAGCCAGCCTATGCGGAGATGAGCCAACCTATGCGGAGATGAGCCAGCCTATGCGGAGATGAGCCAGCCTATGCGGAGATGAGCCAGCCTATGCGGAGATGAGCCAGCCTATGCGGAGATGAGCCAGCCTATGCGGAGATGAGCCAGCCTATGCGTAGATGTGCCAGCCTATGCGGAGATGAGCCAGCCTATGCGGAGATGAGCCAGCCTATGCGGAGGTGAGCCAGCCTATGCGGAGATGAGCCAGCCTATGCGGAGATGAGCCAGCCTATGCGGAGATGAGCCAGCCTATGCGGAGATGAGCCAGCCTATGCGGAGATGAGCCAGCCTATGCGGAGATGAGCTAGCCTATGCGGAGATGAGCCAGCCTATGCGGAGATTAGGCAGCCTATACAGAGGTTCGTAAGTAGGTTGTCTGATGGGCCATTCTCTTGGTTCAGGAAATGAGGTCAGACTTTACAACGCATACGTTGGCGTGGCTGTTTAACACACACTCACACAACCTGTTTTCCCCTGGTTTCCTGTGCTTGTCATGTCACGGTGCAGGCATCGTACATGGAGACTCCCGAGTACAGTGCAGCCATGGCCAGCTTCACACCCAACCACCACCCCTCCGTGCCCTCCATTGGCAGCAGCACCTCGTCTGCTCGTAGCACCAGGCGACTCCGTCGCAGCAGTAGCGACACTCCTCTTGCCTCTACAAGAAGCAATCCCTCTGCTTCCGTCGTAACTGCCACTAGCGCTGGCAGTGTGAAGGAGCGGTTGTTTTCCAGGGCAGATTCAGAGGGCTCTTCCCCTCGCACGCCTCCGAAGACCTTCCGCGTGTTTACTGGCAGTAGTTCTGTGCATTCACCTGCTAGTCATGCCGCTGGTGATCCAAACCCCGTCACCACACCACCAAGAAGCCCGCCCCTCTTGAGAAGCTCTGCCCTCCCCTCCTCTGCAGCTATTGCCACTGCCAAAGAGGCTCGGGCTTCAGGCTGTGGTAACGACAGGGCTGTCAGTGACTGCTTTGATGGCTATGCTGACCAAGTGAAGTCGCAGCCAGGCAAGGCTGAGCACCATAGGAGTATCAGCCACGGGACAGGGGTGCTGCAAGCAGGGAAAGGCGGGCTATCGGCCAAGTTGAAAGGAGAGCGAAAGGCGGAAAAAGGGAAGGGTGTCGCGGAGGATGATTCAGAAGGAGAACCTTCGAAGGTGGTGGAAAGTGGAGATAAAGGGGAAAGGAGGGGTGAGGAGACCCATGCAGGCACCAGCTCACATTCTCAAACAGGGACCAGAGGATTTGGCCCTTCACGCCCTGAATTGGCAAAGCCAGGGGCAGGAAGAAATGCCGATGCTGGGGAGTATGCAGGCAGGGCTGCAAGGCTGGAAGGGCAAGGGGCGCTTGAATATCTGCACCTCCCTGCAAGCGCGGCTGCTGTGCCTGAGTATCCGATGAGACTGGTCGAGGTGACTGCGTATGGCGTGCAGGCAGGAGCGCAGACTGTTAAGAAAGGGATGGAGGTGGTGGAAGGGGTAGGGGAGGTTGCAGAGGAGACTTTGAAAGGGAATGGTCCATATGTTGGAGCAGTAAAAGTATTGGATGCAGAGGTACCGGCAGGGAAGATTGTGGAGGCGGTGAGGCATGTTGAATCCGCAGCAGCAGAGGTGAAAGGGATGTTGAAATCAGCAGCGAAGGCATTGTCCAAGGAGAAATTAGACGGGGCTGAAGCTGTGGCAGTTGAGGAAGGGGCGCATCAGGGGGAGGTGGCCAAGATGGCAGATACAGCAGCAGCCGCAGATGCAGCAGCACGTTCCGATGTCTCAACTGCAGCTGGGAAATCACCGGGTGTCTCAGGTTCAGCCGCTACAGCTGGAGGGCTAGCTGAGTGCGACACCTTTGCTCCTGGTGCATCAGCTGCTGCTACTCCTGACACATTGGCTCCTGTTACTCCTGGCGCATCCGCTTCTGCTGCTCCTCTCGCGTCCGCTTCTGCTGCTCCTGGCGCATCTGCTACTGCTGCTCCTGTCACATCTGCTACTGGTGCTTCTGGCGCATCTGCTACTGCTGCCACTGTGTCTGGTGATGGTGATGCTCCGACCAGTTCTGGTGGGGGGCCATGGCAAAGAGTTAAGCAGCGATTGGCGTTCATGAGTCAGGGCAAGGAGAAGAGAAAAGCACAGCCGCCGGAGCTGAAACAAGAAGTGAGCAATGGTGAGGACATGAAAGGTGGATATGATGGAAGAGAGGACAGGTCAGAGAGGCTTGTTCAAGGGACCAGTGGCGAGGAGATTCACAGGGTTCTCGATACAAATGAGGCTTCTGAGAAGGCTAGGGTCCTTTCACGTGTGAGGGAAGGATCTGAGGAGGGAAGCGAGGGAGAGGAGGAAGAAGGGGAGCTGTGCAGCCGCAGGGATGCAGAAAACGAGCAGGGTGTAGGCATGGGTGCTGGGGCGACTGGTAGTGATGCTGGGAGAAGCAGCGGTGACAGGGCAAGGGGAGCAGAAAAGGAGAGTTCAGGTGTGGTAGACGTTGAGGGAGGGGGAGAGACAGGTGCAACCCCGAGGGAGGACAGGCAGGGGCCAGGCGCAGCAGAGGAGCAGGGCCAAGGGGAGGCAGCAGAGAGCAGGAAAGGAGAGACAGAGGGAGATGGAGGAGGAGGAGGAGGAGAAGTAGGAGGAGGAAGTGAGAGGGTGGATGTGCCTGTGTCTGCATCGCTCCTTGGTTCCTCTCTGGCTGCTGCTCGCTTTGTCCTGGGGCTGAAGAGAGGCAAGGCCAGACGTGCAGCTGCTGTTAGTGAAGGGGAGCGTGGTTCTGAGATAGCATGTGTTGATGCTGAGGCACAGTCCCATCCTGCTGCTGATTCTACCTCTGGTGCTGGTAGTGCGGTTGCTGGTAGTGTGGCTGCAGGAAGCGGCGCTTCTGCTGCTGTTGCAAAGAGTAAAGACGCGGATGCTAGCTCATCTGGTTCTCTGGCTCCCCCTAATTCCGACAACGGGCATACACGGAAATATGCTGGTGGGGTTGAGGCGGATGCTGATGTCACCGATACTCATGTTGATGCCCATCCCAGTCAGCATGCTGGTACTAACACATATGGAGCAGTGAGTTGGGTACATTTGGCTGCCCCAACCGCCACCACGGCTAGTGTCGCCCAGATCAATCCTCGTGGTGACAGTAGCACCACTTCCTCTGCCTCTGTCGCAGCTACAGCTTCTGCCTCTGAGCCTCCTGTACCTACTGTCGCTGCTGCCTCTGAGCCTCCTGTAGCTACTGATGCTGCTGCTACTGAGCCTCCTGTAGCTACTGCTGGCGTAGCTGCCACAGGAAGTCTTATAGCCACAGATCCAGCTGTCACTGCACATGCATCTCCTGTAGAGACAAGTGCAGCTGTCCCTGCACCCCCTGTAGCGACAGGTGCAGCTGCCGCTGCGCCCTCTGGGTTAACTGCTGGTGCTGCCACAGGTAACAGCAGACAAACACAAAGCGGGCTCAAGTCAAGCAGCAGCATCAAAGTGTCATTCAAATCAGCTGCTGCACGAATCATGAAGTCTGCTGCTGCCAAGCCCAACAGACCCAAATTCTCTGAGGTGGTTTCTGGTGTCATGGCCGGTTCTGGTTTCACGGCCGATGCTGTTGCTGCCCTTGTTCCTACACCCGGTACTGCTGTTGCTGATGATCCTTTGCTGCCAGAAACAACAGTGGCAGCAAAGCTTAAGTCAACTATCCACCTGGAGTCTCTCTCCTCCTTTCCACCACTCAATCGCAACCGTACGCAAGCCACTCCACTCACTGCGCTGATACCAGACCCCAACACTCATAGTGCTGCTGCTGCTGCCTCCCTCTCACCCTCCAGCCGCAGCCTTGATGCATCTAGCAGTGGTGGAAAGTCCATTGAAAAAATCTCCACAAATTCTGCCCTCGATGCTGCCGACGCTGCAACTATCGCTGCTCCCACCTCTGCTGTTGCAGCTGGTACTGCTGGCACTGCTGCTGCTTCTGCTTCTGCTGGTGTTGCTGCTGCTGCTGCTGCTGCTGGTGCCTCTTTTGATGCAGCCACAACTGCAGCTGCCGACGCTGATTCGGCTGATTCTTTCCTGGCCTCCGTAAAGGCTCCTCTTGCTCCCGCTGCTGCTTCTGCTGGCTCCGGCACTGCAGAGCACAGCGGCAGTGAGCTGCAGTTGCATGAGAACGTCCCGCCTTTTGAGCCCGCTCAGTCAGCAGCAGAGGCAGAACACCACAGGTCCCGTTCAACTGAAGCGGTTCCAGCAGTGACAGAAGAAGCAACGGGAGCAGCAGCTGGCGAAGCAGCGGCATCTGAATCACCAGGCACTCCTGCTGGGCATCCCTCTGTTGATGACCCACCTTCAAACAGCTCCCAGCCGTTTCCTGAGCCGGGCGTAAGGCCTACCCGCGGTCGTGTGTCCTGGAAAGGTGTTGTGGACAAGGTTAGTGTTGGCACCACTGCTGCCGTGGTCAACACGGGGAAGAGAGTGACAGGAGCAGCATCAGCTCTTCACTCCGCCGCAACTGCTTTCCTTGACGGCACTTCAGAGAAAGTTCAGGAGAAGTTTCACGAGGCCCAGGAGGCGTTTGAGGAAGCAGAGGAGAGGGCGGGGGAGTGGGGGGCGGATGAGGGGTTTAAAGTGCAAGTGGGGGCGATGAGGACAGTGCGCTCTATGGAATCATTCTTTGGGAGACAGGCAGATAAGCTGGTGACAGCTTCCCGCGTTCCTGACATGGTCAAATATGCAACAACTGCAGAGCTCCGGGCACGCTGGCCCCATGACAGCTTCAGGTTACCGACGTCTAGAAGCGAGGGAGGCGAGAGTGTCGGGGACGGGGTAGATAGTGAGTTGATGCCTGTGCCCATGTTTGATGAGCTTCAAAACATGGCAGGAGCGGCAGCTGCCGCGGAGAGGGAATTTATCGGGAAAAATAGACCTTCTGGATTGGTGAAGAGTGCGAGTGTTGCGGCAGGGCAGATGGCAGCAGTAGCGAGGTTAGGTCAGGATGTGGTCGTGAAGGCTGGGTCTGTTGTGAAGGGAGCTGTTGGGAGCGCCCTTGCTGCCGGCTCGGAGGCGGCTGTAGTAGAGGGTAAGGCCTTGAGGGCCGGGGCGGCTGTAGCGCTGAATGTTATGGGCGGGAGGCTGGGGGATATCAAGGAACACGCAGAGCAGGACTTGCAAGTGAGCCTCGCGGACTGGCGGAGACGAATGCAGGAGGCGGGGCTTGGGGCGGATGAGGAGGAAGACATCAGTGAGTTGCGGCAGGAGCGGATCCATCTAGGCAACGAGGAGTACGACGCGGGGGCGATCGTGGGAGGCGACGTGACCATTCACGTGATCAAGGCGATGGATCTGGGGCTCCGGCCGGAGAAGACGCATCCGTACGCGGTGGTGCAGGTGGAGGGGCGGCGGCTGCGGTCGTCGGTGTGCAAGGGCACGGTGTGTCCGCAGTGGGACGAGCTGCTGGTGTTCAAAGGCGTGTCTACTGCGTCCAGCATGGCTGTTTCCATCTTCAGCAGCGAAACCATTGGCTCACACAAGTTCCTCGGGCAGGTGAGCTGTGGTGTGGAGCTGCTTCCCTTGCTCGCCCTTGTTCTACTTACAACACCCGTGGAGCTGTTTGCGGTGCCGTACTTGCTCGCTCGTGGCTGCGCTCTGGAATGAATTCCTACTCAACAACATATTCCACTCCCCTGCCCTGTTGCCCTTCCCCCCAGGTGGTGCTGCCGCTGGTGGACGGCAGGGCGCTGAACCGCGAACCTGGGTGGCACAAACTGAGTCGGCGCACGGCGCACGAGACGGTGACAGGCAGGGTCTTCCTGTCCACATCGTGGGATGCAACAGAGCTCGAGCTCATGGCGCTGCAGGTGGGTGGGTCAGTTGCACGTGCGTGCATGCCTGTCTGGTGTTCTAGTCATGAAGCAGTGCCACTGCCACACCTCCCGGACTCACACCACTGCCTGTGCGCACATCTTCCCCTGCAGCAAGGAAGCGGAGCTAGATGCACTGGAGGAGCGGCTGGCGCAGGAGAGGGAGGCAAGGTTGTGACCGCAATAACAAGATAGTTGCTTCCCCTTCTGCCATTCCCCTTTGGCTGTATGTCCATTCGCCTGTGCAGCTGCGAGCCAAGGAGGCGGAGCTGGACGCACTGGAGGAGCGGAAAGCACACCTCCTTCCGTCATTCATTCCCTTCTTCCCCTTCTTCCGTTCGCCTATTCCTGTGCCCATTCACCCCTGCAGCTGCGTGCCAAGGAAGCGGAGCTGGATGCGTTGGAGGAGCGGCTGGCGCAGGAGAGGGAGGCGCGGCCGCGTGAGGCCGTCATGGCAGCAGAGGCCCTCGCCAACCCGCACGCGCTGCTTCCCCACACGCCCTCCGCAGCCCTGCGCACGCCCACAGGCGGGGGGCCCATGCTGCGCCGCATGTTCACTCTGCGTGGCCATGGCCCCGGGATGGGTGTGGGCGCCTCCTCTGTGTCGCCTGGTGCAGTGCAACAGCATGCTGCCAAGGGGCAGCTCAAGGTTAGAGGGGGGGCATGGGGTTGCGAGAGGTGATGATGGAACGGAAGCTTGTGAGTTAATGTTTGTTTTTTGTTACAATCCGAACAGTACATGCCAGGCCCGCCTCTCCTTTCTCTTTCCCGGCCAGGGGACAGTGCCAGCAGAGTGGCTGCACTCAAACGCCAAATCCCACCTCTGCCTGCACTGCACTCCTTCTCTACTCACCAATCAAATCTACTCACCTCTCTCTACTCACCGCTCTCTACTCTCTCTGCAGGTGAAGGTGGTGGAGGCGAGGCACCTGGCAGTGCCGGCGGAGTGGCTGCGCTCGGTGCACCGAATGCACGCCTTCGCCGCACTCTCTGTGGTGTCCCCCGCGGGCACGAGCACGCTGCCTGTGAAGACGCGCATCATCAAGGGCAGCTTCTTCCCCAAGTGGAACGAGACTTTCAACATCAACGATGTCGCTCTCACCTCCTCGCTGCGCGTGCAGGTAAGGTTGGAAGGGTCAGGTGGTTCTAATCCAGGTGTAAGCTGGGTCAGGAGGTCCTAGTGCAGGTTCGAACTGGTCAGCTGGTGCTGGTGCAGTTGTGACTTGGGTCAGGTGGTGGTGGTGGTGGTGGTGGTGGTGGTGGTGGTGGTGGTGGTGGTGGTGGTGGTGGTGGTGGTGGTGGTGGTGGTGGTGGTGGTGGTGGTGGTGGTGGTGGTGGTGGTGGTGGTGGTGGTGGTGGTGGTGGTGGTGGTGGTGGTGGTGGTGGTGGTGGTGGTGGTGGTGGTGGTGGTGGTGGTGGAGATTATTGCAATCAATGGCTGGTTAAGCTGGGGCAATCGTGCCATCTCGTGTCAATGTTTAGCCTTGAACTCAGATATTTGACCTTGATTCACTAGCAAAGATAATCGGCTTCGTTTCTTTTCAGACCTCCAACGCCCCTCTCGTCTGTTCTTACCTTGAATTATTTCCTTGCCGGCCCACTGCACATCCCTCTCACGTGAATCACCAACTTTCGTTCCACCCTCCTACCCACGCCCCATGCGTGCATCCCCTGCAGGTGTTTGACAAGCCAAAGCTGGGCAGCCCGAACCTCCTGGGCGAAGCTACAGTAGATGTCACCACCTTCAAGGTGCGGCCGCCAGCTACACTCAGGCCCAAGCCGTGCCCATTTCGTTTTCCTTGTAACATGTGTTTCGGTGCTCATTTTTGACAGCGGCTAATCTTGCCTTGTGTTTTGGCTGCTGTTCTCCGTCTGCTGTTTCCCAGGATGGGCTGCCACAGTACATGCTGCTGACTCTCAAGCGAAGTGCAGGGAGAGAAGGGGTGCGTAAACTGCCTGCTCTGCTCCTTCTTCCTTATCTTTCACCCGCGTCTCCTGTCAACCTATTGTTCCCCATTCATCCCCTCCCGCCCTCGCCCTTAACTCCCTATTCTTTCTTCTCTTCCCTTCCTCAATCTCTGACCATCTTTTCTAAAGCTTGCACCTTGTTTCGACTGCATGCCGCCCATTCTTTCTGTCAATTGCAGGAGCAGGAGGCTGTGGGCGGCAGCATTCGCCTTCGGGTGCACTGGATGGTGGACCATGGGAAGAAGGCAGAGGAGAAGACTGGAGTCAACTTTATGGTAAGACAGAATGCTCCCATTCTTTCAATTCTTCCATCTCCTTGAAGCTCTCTCTTGCATCTCATCCTCCTCCAATCTCCTCCTCACCAGCGTCAGCGTCCTCACCAGCGTCTCCCTGGGCCATCTATCCCCTGCCCATTGCCCCTTAGTTTATCTACCTACTTTCCTCGTTTCCTCCCTCCCTTCTGCCAACCTGTGTGACGCATCCGTTTGGGTCATGCTCTTTCTAATTCCACTCGTTTCCCGCTCCCTCCCTCCCCATTCCCCCCTCCCCCCCCAACACCTGCCAACCGCCCCCAGTTGAACCTGCATGGGATGACCGTGTCTGTAGTGGACCGCCTGCCTCGTGAGATCATGCTGGTGCTGCTGGAAGACATCTGCTGCTCCTGGGAGGAGTCGGTGAGCTGCACGGGCACAGGAGGGGACGGGGGGTAGAGTGGGGGAACAAGGGGGGTTGGCTAGGCTAGGCATGTGTGGAGGTGGTGGGATTTGGGGGTTATGTGCGTGACATCATGCTGGTGCTGCTGGAAGACATGTGTTGCTCCTGGAAGGATTCGGTGAACCACTGAGCCGCACGGGCACAGGGGGAAGGTGGGGGAGGCAGGCATGGGGGCTCAGCTGGCTAGGAATAATGGCTAGGCTGCTGAAGGCACTAGGTGAGGGTGTGAGGGCGGATGCGATGTCGATGAGACAGGGACAGAAGAGGTGAGGCTGGAAAAAAATTCTGGATGCCATTGGAGAGGCGAGCTTTAGGAGGTTTATGTCAGGTGTAAGTACAATGGTGACGATTTCTTCATCTTCTTCTTCTTCTACGCAGAGTGCTCTTGAGTATCATCTCCTGTGCTCTACATGCACACTTCGCTTTCTTTTTCTTGTCTCCTTATCTCTCCTCGTCTTCACCCGGGGAGCAGGTGAAGGAGGTGGCGGGCAAGGCGGAGGTGGGAAAACTGCAGGTGGAAAATCAGCTGCTCATACCCACCACCCCTTGCCATGCTCCCTTCCCAATTCCCATCCGCCCCACTTCCCCCCTTCCTTCCTGGCACACGATTGATGGGGAGCAGGTGAAGGAGGTGGCGGGCAAGATGGAGGTGGGCAAGCTGCAGGTGGACAGCCAGCTACTCACACCAACCTTGCCACATACTCCCTCCCCAATTCCCATTCGCTCCCTTCCCCTCTTTCCTTCCCCTCCTCCTCCCCACCTCCCTCCCCTTCTCCTTTCCCTTCTCCCATCCCTGCCTGACACACGGTGCATGGGGAGCAGGTGAAGGAGGTGGCGGGCAAGGTGGAGGTGGGCAAACTGCAAGTGGACAACCAGCTGCTCACTGCTCGCAACCCTGTCGTGCTCTCTCGCACCCAGGTCAGACCCCCTTATCTTCTCTCACGTCCTGATCAGATCCCGCGTGCCCTGTCCCACCCCTGCTCAGATTCCCCTGGTTCCGCCTCCTCCCGTTCTCTCCCCTCTCTGTTTTAAAAGTCGACAAGTTTCTAGCACGTGCATCGATGCTTGTTAACAATCTCACTCAACACCCTCCCCTTATCGATCTCTTCCACCCTGTACCACCGATCCCTTTCCTCCCTCTTCCCACCACGCCACCCCTCTTACGCTTCCCACTCGCTCGTCCATTGTCCGCCAGGCCTTCCCAGGGGAGTCACTCTTCCTGGAGCAGGGCAAGGAGCTGGCGAACCAGGCATCGTAGCCAACCTAGGCTCATTCTTCCCATACCCCCCGCCCCCTGCCCCCATTCTCCTCATTCTCTCCCAGGCCTTCCCAGCAGAGGCGCTCTTCCTAGAGCAGGGCAAGGAGCTGGCGAACCAGGCATCGCTAGCCGGCATGCTGAGCACGGATCCCAAGGAGAAGGAGAAGGCGTTTGTGTCAGTGGAGTTCACACGCCTGCTGCAGCACCCCTCCATCGTCTACTACCGCCGCTTCCTCTTCCAGCTCCAGGAGTTCGACCTGGTTCTGGAGGAGGATTTCGTGGATACTGCAGTGGCGTACCTGCAGCAGCTACCCATGGAGGACCTGTGGCAGGATAAGGATAAGCGGGGCGGGGAGGAGGAGGAGGAGAAGAAGGGCGACGAGGATTTAGTCGAGGATATGGCCGGGGCTCCCATCACCAGGACTTACCTGGTCAGTGTGGAACTCATGCTGAAACGTTTTCATCTCTGTGCCATGGGGTTCTGCCGGCGGCCTTTGCAACCTACCTACCTCAACCTCTCTCGCTGCACCGCACCTGTTTTCTCTCAAAATACCCTCAGTAAAAGCATATTTTACCGCTCACCTCTTCCTCCCCTCCATGCCCGCTCTTCTCCCTCCCCCTCTCTCCAGACGCGTGACACCACCGTGGTGTCCCCGATGTCCCGCCGGCACTTAGTTAAGTCTGAGCCGTTGGAGCCGTTAGTGAACAGCAGCAGCTGGGTGGCGGGCAACCAGGGCCTGCGGTGGTACTTTGAGCGCTTCCAGGTGCAGTCGATGCGCATCAACGTCACGCTCGTCATGAACCCCATCAAGAGCGACGCACCGCCGCCCTCTGGCAGCAGCTCCGAGTGGCACCTCCGCACCACCGCCTCCTCTGCTGGGTTCCCGCTCATCTCGCTCACCCGAGCCCCGCTGAGGCTCAACAGGTGGGTGTCTGGTGCTGGACAACGTGTTTCAGAAGCAGACCACACTGCGGACGTATGTGCTGCTGCCTTTTCTGAAACTCCCTCCCTCCTGCATAAGTGTGCTATGACCCGCCTCCCTCCCTTTCCTTCTCTGCATGTGGCAGTCTTGTGCTCGACAATGCGTTTCAGAACCAGAGCACGCTGCAGACGTACGTGCTGCGCCACTACGGCGTGCAGCTGCTGCAGGGCCTCCACAAGATCCTCGGCTCCGTCGAGCTGCTCGGCGCCCCGGTATGCCCCAATAGAGTGGAGTGGCCAGGCCTGATGAGGGTCGACAAGGTTGCTTGCGCGCTCAAGGCTGCGGGACGAGGAGCCTCAGCGCTCTTCAGAGGCACAGCAGACAAGCTCGTCATCGAGAAGGAGTCATTGGGGCTGGCAAGGAGATAAGGAGTCAGTTGCATGGCACGCCACGGCGGCACGGCGACCCAACGCAAGTCTGAAAAGGCGACAGGACTTGTGAGAGATTGCGAGGCTGAAAAAAACGGCTTAAGAAGATGAGTCAGAGCTGGATAGAGTGAGTCAGAGCTGGTCCCACTCTATCCAGCTCTGACTTCATCTTCTAAAAAAAAATCTTCAGCCTTGCAATCTCTCGCGAAACCTGTCGCCTTTTCAGCCTGGCGTTGGCCCGCCGTGCCTCTGTGGCGTGCCATGCAACCGACTCCTCGTCTCCTACCGGCCCCAATGACTACTTCTCGTTGACAGTCTTGTCTGCTGTGCCTCTGAGGAACGTTGAGGCTCCTCGTCCCGCAGCCTTGAGCGCGCAAGCAACCTTGGCGGCCTCCATCACCTCTCCACTTCTTTTCGACTCCTCCATCCTCTCTGCCTTCTTTTAACCGAACGCCATCAAAACTATGTTTTTTGAACTTCTGTCCCTCCATACAACACCCCTGTGCCCCAAATGCGACCTTCCCCAGCTATCCCTGGTGGACAATCTCGCCACGGGAGTTATGGACTTTTTTGTTGAGCCCGCCTCTGCGACCACGTGAGTGAATGCCGTACCCCTCGCCCTCCTGAACCTTGCATACTCGTCACGTCCCGCTCCCATTCTCGTCACATGTTTCCCTCTGGTAATGGTTCTCCCATGCCTTTCTGAACGGAGTCTGTCCGCCCTCTTCTCCTCGCAGCCCCTCTCACTCCTTGAGGGCTTTACCAACAGGGTGGTGATTGATAGGCACAGCGAGCGTGGTCAAGTCATGAAGTCTCAAAACTTTCTCCCTTTGCCCCTGAGCTTATCCCGCTCCCCTTGTCCTCCTCTCCCTGTCTTACCCTCCCTAACACCCCTCCCTCTTCCTATCTGCACCGTCCCCCTCCGCCCCTCCTGGCAGGCCGGAGGAGTTTTTGAGCGGGGCGGTGAAGGGCACGGTGAGTCTGATGAAGCACTCGTCGTACGGCGTGCTGCACTCCATCAGCTCCCTTGCTGGCGGCATCGGCTCTGGCTTCGCCAAGCTCACCTTTGACGACTCCTACATACAGAGGTACGACTCCTACATCCAGAGGTACACTGGAGGGCACTGATTGACTGAAATATGGAGGTAGCCTCTTGGTAACATGTGTTTTCTTTGCAGAGACTCTGCAAAACTGGAGGGTGCCATTACCACACACACATTAATACCACTCTTTTACCAACCCAAGCTTTCCACCCAATCCCCTTTCCTATCCCCCGCCGACAACCCCTCCTCCAACAACCCCCCTTCAGGTTCAGCCAGCGACCGGAGGGAACATCACAGCAGGTGCTGCGAGGAGCGCAGGACGTGGGGCTGGGCTTCGTGGGGGCGGTCACAGGGCTCGTGCTGCAGCCGCTGGAGGGCGCACGCAGGGAGGGGGCCGTGGGCGCAGTGAAGGGCGTGGGCAAAGGGGTGGTTGGGCTGGTCACCAAGCCGCTGTCGGGGCTGCTGGGGTTTGCGTCGACGCTGACTGAGAGCGCCGGCACAGGGATCCGGGCGATTGGGGGGGATGTGTCAAGGCGGACTGTCCCGCGCATCCGACTTCCGAGCACGTTTGGGCGAAACGATGCGATTGCGGTGAGTCGAGACTGGTAAACGTGATCTGACTGATTGTTTATTTATCTATTTCGACACCTATTTTTCTCGTGTTACTCATAATTTTTGCTGCTCTACTTTCATCGCTCCCTCCTTACCTCTGGTGTTGACCACCCTCGACTTTAGCCGCTATCGCTGTGAGCATCGCTTTCACAACTTCCACTCCCCCAAAACTCCTGCCACCCTTCTCCCCCTTCCCCCCCCTCTTCCCCTTTTCAGCTGGAGCCAGAGGACAGTGTGGAGCTGAAATTGGTGTTAGCCATCCTGAACTCTGGGCAGTACAGCGACGAGCACCTCTTGCACTCCTTTCCACTCCCCCAACTCCCTACTTCCCTCCAACTCTTCCCCCCAGCTCGAGCCAGAGGACAGTGTGGAGCTGAAGTTGGTCTTGGCCATCCTGGACTTTGGGCGGTACCGTGACGAGCACCTGTTGGACCATCTGCAGACGTCGGGGCGCAAGGCAGTGCTTTTCACCGTTGCGCGCCTCATCTTCTACGACTGCCAGCGCAACGTCTTCTACTGGCAGATCCCCCTCAAAGGTGGGACCATTACATGCTTGCGAATCCCCGTTCTTTTCTGTACCTATCTGACTTGCACTAATACGTTTCCTGTTCCCTGCTTCCTCCCCTTCCCCTCCCCACGTCCACCCTGGGCGCAGACATAACCTCAGTGATGGGAATGGAGGGGCGGCTGGAGAGCATAATCCTGTACGATGCGGATGTGGTGATCGCCAGCAAGAAGCTTCCTCTGCGCGTGCCCGCACGCAAGGTCATCAAAACCACCACCCGCGAGCTCCACATGGCACTCTTAGTTAAGCTCAACAGACACTTAGCCCGCATTCGCACAGAACTCCCTTCCTCCTCCTCTCCATCGACTCCCCGCCACGCATCCCGTGAGCCTGTTGCTGCTGGCGCTGCTGATTCTGGGTCCCTCTCACCCTCTCGCGGCCCCTCTGCTAGCTCCTCTCCTGCTCCCTCTCCCTCCACCTCCCTCCCTTCCCCACTCCGCCTTGCTCAATCCCCTGGGAACGTGTCTGAGCTGAGTGCTGGTGGTGGCAAGGCAGCAGGGAGGCCTGGAAAAGCAGCTGATGCTGGCGTTGACAATGGGGCGAGCAGTGGTGGTGGTGAGACCTCCGGTGGTAGAGCAGGGAGAGCCCATAACAGGAAGCAGTCATCTCTGTCAAAGGCGTTGACATTGCAGAGGGAGGAGCAGGAAGAGGATGAGAAGGCAGAGAAGGAGGAGGAAGGGGCTTCTGAGGCGGCTTATGTGTTGAGTGTGTCGGGTGGAGCCACTGCTGCAACGGCAGCAACACGTTGGAAAAAGCAAGCCAATACGAGAGATGGTGCTGGGGGAGCAGCTGACAAAGGCAAGTCTCCTGCCGAACTGACTCACAGCCGCTCAGCTCCAGCCAGAGCCAGGAAAAGCAGCTTTCGCAGGGGCAAAGGAGGAGGTGGAGGAAGAGGTTACGATATGGGCAAGCACGCTGTTATACATGAAGATGTGGATGTGGATGCAGCACATGTGGACCAGGACGACAGTGACGAGGATGATTATAGCGAGGATGCAAATGGTGTGGTGGCAAGGGTGGCTCAATTGGATAGGGAGGAACGGCAGGAGGTGCGGCGGAATCTGGATGCGATACTGACGACTTGCCAAGTGGCGATTGCAAGTGCTGGTGGCCGATCAGACCCTGCTTCAGCTTTGGTTTCTGTGAAATTTCTCGCACTTGCGGCGTATTCTCGTGTACAGTCGCATAGGGCCCACCAGGCCACGTTAGGAGCAAGAGCGTTGCAAGGGGTGCAGAGGGGTGATTCGCAATGGGAGGAAGATGTGTCGGCATTGCTTCGCACAATGGTGGCTTTGTCTGAGGGTGGTGAGACTGGTTCGTTGAGAGACCAGTCTCAGATCTTGGGAACGCTGGAGGCAATCTGCCACCAAGCCATTGGCCGGGTCTCTAGCCATTGATATGAATAATTATTGTACGGCTCAACTGCATTTTGCTAAGCTCTTAAGGCTGTAGGCCATGACATAATTTTCTAGAAATTTAAGACCTGTAAGTAGGTGGGAAGGCAGGGAATTGGTAGGCTTGTATGTAGGTCTAGTGTCCTGTGATTAGTGAATCAGTGTACATGTGTACTTTCGAAGGAAGCACTGTGACACGTCAGCCTCGATGTCATCCAGCCCAGATTTTGTCACGAGACTCCTCACCCTGCACACTCGTTTTCCCGCTTTCGCCTCAAAGCCACAACACGCGGACTTCTCTCCGCTAGCCTCCTCTAACAGAAACTATTTCCCGGGAAGTGAATGGCATACTGTACTTTCTCTCAGTGCTTGGGTAGAATCAAGGCCAGCGACCTAAGGTGGTCTGTGTAGGTCAGGCGGTCTTGTGTAGTTTCTTCTTATCCGGACGATCCATGGTCATGCAGTGCATATAAACACTCTTCGAACTTACAACATCGCATCCCATAAGTTTCGTTGATAAACGAACCAGACTGTCACTACTCTCACCCCAGGGGATCGTCGTTCTATGCTCCTGTGAATCGTTCAGCCATTTCCGTTCTTGCCGAGGAAGTCTTATCAGCTCTCGTTTCCTCTTTAGCAACCATCGTCGTTGTTCTCTGCGGTGCCATGACCGCGTGTGCCTGCCTCTCGCGCGTTGCGATCCGTGGTACGACGACGCTTCCTTCCGTCGCCTGCTGCCCGCGCCGACAGCAACAACAATCGCTCTCGCTCCGGAAACACAACGAGCATGCGTTACTAAGCGTCGCGTGCGAAAAACGAAGTCGGTCTCAATATAAAGACGTCGGGGCGGTGGGGTCGTCAACACGGCGGTGTTGCGGTGCAGTGCGGTGCTCCGCCGCGTCAGCCGATGATCCAAGGGCCACGATTCCTTCCGTCGCGACCGTATCTGGCGAGAATGGATCGCTCAAGGTTCGCAGTTAGTTTCCTGCCTTCCTGACTTCCTGCCTTCCTTGATCTCCCTTAAGTCAGCCCTCATCCTCCCCTTCCCTAACTTAGCAGAGGGAGGATGAGGGCTGACTGAAGGGAGACGCCACAGCTTTCTCTGACCCTTCCCCTCACCTCACCATGCCTACCATCACCCACTGTACAACGCACGCAGAACCCGAGTCAAGCTGTGAGGCAGAGGCCAGCTCTTTGAGGCTCCTCAGGAGTGAATATCCTTCGTCCCACCGTCCGCCACCCCACCTTCCTACGCACTATGCTCGAGTCAAGCTGGCAGGTAGGGTTTGAGGCTCTTTAAAATTGTTCATCTGTGCCTCACCATTCCCACCACCCCACTGGCCAACACGCAGAGCACGAGTCAAGCTAGCGCGCACAGGGCAGCGCAGGAGGCGAGTGACGACGATGTGCTGATAGAGCTCAAGGACGTGTACAAGTCGTTTGGCAGCAAGCACATCCTCAGAGGCGCGTCGCTCAAGGTGCGGTTCTTACTGCCTGTCTGCCCCTCTTAGCGCAGTTTTGAGACGTCTCAAGACGTGCTGATAGAGCTCAATTAGTGACATGTACAAGTCGTTTGGCAGCAAGCACATCCTCAGAGGCGCGTCGCTCAAGGTCCGTATCGCCCGTCTGTTTGGCACTTTCTCCGCATCTCTGCATGTCTGTTCGTGTCTGCGTGTCTGTGTGTGTCTGTGTGTGTCTGTGTGTGTCGTTGCACCACCAACCCGTTCCTGCTCTCTCCCCGTTCCATTTGTTTCCCCCCCTTGACCTGAATGCACAACTGCATGGGTTAGATCCGGAGGGGCGAGGCGGTCGGGGTGATAGGGCCGTCTGGCACGGGCAAGTCAACCATTCTGAAGATCATGGCCGGGCTGCTGGCGCCTGACAAGGTAGAGCGAGACCTTGTGCTCCTTGGCATCATGTGTGTCACATCGTGTGCATCTCATCATGTGCGTCCCATCCACTTCATCCCATTGCATGCATCCCAT